AGATAAAACGTAGTTTTCATACACACAAAAACACCATAATGAACTTAATTATTTTTATAAACTCGTCTTTCTTGGTTAAGTTAATCTCGACAACGAAATGAAATGTAAGTAACATTTATACATACGTATATATATTAGTTCAAAATAAAATGTGACTATTATTTATATAAATCTTTTTTTCGCCATTCAGATCAATCGCAACAACGAAATCGAAAGTAAGTATTATTTTCTTATAAATGTTTCCTTTTGATTTAGGTTAACATGAAGTTGAAAATAAAATGTAAGTATTATTTACTTTAACAATTATCCTTTTCTGTTTAGATCCATTGTAACAAGAAATCAAAAATAAGTATTATTTACTTATATAAATGTTTTTTTATTTTATATAGTTCAATATGAAATTCAAAATAATATGTAAGTATTATTTTAAAAGTCTTCTTTTTTATTTAGACCAATCGCAACAACGGAATCAAAATTAAGCATTATTTTCTTATCGATGTTTCTTTTTGATTTAGGTTAATATCGAGTTGCAAATAAAATGTAAGCATTATTTACATTAATAATTATTTTTTTCTGTTTAGATTCATTCTAACAACAAATAAAAAGTAAGTATTATTTACTTACATATATATATATATTAATTTTATTTAGTTCAATATAAAATTCAAAATAATATGTAAGTATTATTTAAAAAAAATCTTCTTTTTAATTTGGACCAATCACAACAACGAAATCAAAAGTAAGCATGATATACTTATATATATTTTTTTTAAATTTTATTTAGCTCAATATGAAATTCAAAATAATATGTAAGCATTATTTTAAAAAATCTTCTTTTTAATTTAGACCAATCGCAACAACAGAATCAAAAGTAAGTATTGTTTACTTATATGTCTTTTTTGATTTAGGTTAATATGGAGTTCAAAATAATATGTAAGTATTATTTATATCAATCTTTTTTTTCTATTCAGATCAGTCGCAACAACAAAATCAAAAACAAGTATTATTTACTTATATATCTTTTTTAATTTTATTTAGTTCAATATGAAATTCAAAATATATATAAGTATTATTTGCAAAAAAAAATCTTCTTCTGTATTTAGACCAATCGCAACAACAACTGAAACAAAAGAAAGTATTATTTTTTTATATATGTTTCGTTTTTTATTTAGGTTAGTATGAAATTCAAAAATAAAATGTAAGTATTATTTATATGTATTATTATCTTTTTCTATTTAGGTCCATTAGAACAAGGAAATCCAAAGTAAGTATTTATTTATATGTATATATTTGTTTTTCTTTATTTAGTGCAATATGAAGTTCAAAATGATATGTAAGTATCATTAACATTAATAATTATCTTTCTGTGTTTAGATCCATTGCAACAAGAAATCAAAAGTAAGTATTATTTACTTATAGATATATTTTTTTAATATTATTTAGTTCAGTATGAAATTCAAAATGATATGTAAGTATTATTTAAAAAAAATCTTCTTTTTTATTTAGACCAAAAGCAATAATGGAAACAAAAGTAAGTATTAGTTTCTTATGTATATATTTCTTTTTTTATTTAGGTAGTATGGAGTTCAAAATAATATGTAAGTATTATTTATCTGTATTATTATCTTTTTCTGTTTAGATCAGTTAGAACAAAGAAATCCAAAGTAAGTATTTATTTATATGTATGTATTTGTTTTTCTTTATTTAGTACAATATTAAGTTCATAACAATATGTAAGTATTATTTATATAAATTTATTTTTTTTTGTTTAGGTTCATCGCGACAAACGCAATCATAAGTAACGCTGGGGACTAATCTTGAGGCACACCATTTCAACCTGTTACTCTTTCCCCTTGCATAACAACAAACAATTTTAGAAAACAGCGGTACCAAAGTTCACAACTATACATGTTCTTATAAGCAAAAAACAAATTGTTAGTTCGAATGATACTCCACAATAAATTTTAGATTGTCAAATTAATAAAAAAAATATCTTATTTGGCGGTCTAAACTTTATTGTGGAGTATCATTCGAACCACTTACAATTTGTTTTTTGCTTAGAGGAACATGTACAGTTGTGAACTTTGGTATTGCTGTTTCCTAAAATTCTTTGTTGTAATGCTAGGGGAAAGAGTAACAGGTTGAAATGGTGTGCCTCGAAACTAGTCTCGAGTGTGAGTGTGTTTTATACACTCTTTCCGAAACCCTTGTATGGGTATATGAGTGTTTTCTAAACCCTTATATGAGTTTTTTGAATGTGTCCTAAACCGTTATATGGGTTTATGAGAATTTCCTAAACCCTTATATGGGTTTATGAGTATTTCCTAAACCCTTATATGGGTTTATGAGCATTTCCTAAACCCTTATA